ATCGGGATTCACAGTAGTGAATCGGGATCCACATTAGTGGATCTGGATTCACTGGAGTGAATCTGGATTTACAGTAGTGAATCTGAATTCACTAGAGTGAATCTGCTTTCACTGGAGTGAATCTGCTTTCACTATAGTGAATCCAGCTTCAATTTAGTAAATGCAGATTCATGTATTACTGTATTCCTCCAGTAAATGTTTAAAGTACATACAAAAGGTGGGAAAACATACCAAACCCTGAGGACGACCTTGGTATTTTTCCTTGTAGTCTGGGCAGTTTTTGCTATTGTCAATCAGCTCCATACTTGGATTTTTTAGCCCATAGCACACAATGTAGAAATGCTCAAACGCATTTATGGGGAAGAAGACCTAATGGTTGTGGAATTTAATCAGAGATTTAACAGATATAGTTAAAATTGGGCTAAAGAAGAAAAATATTATCTTCGAATCTTTACCATATCAATCTCATTAAACTTCATATGTGGATACAGAGCAAGTTGCTCATCCATCCGGGAAGCAAAACGACTGTATCTCAATTCATCATTGGCCTCATCTGTGTGATGAATGTTGCAAAACTGTACAACATAAAACTTGTTAAATAAGATGTAACTGAATTGTTATTTTAAAAAGAATAAAGGAAGATACTTACGGTTGTCTCAACATTGCAGAAGAATCTAAGAGGAGAATTTTCCGACTTCATTTTTTCTCTGTTGTTCAAAATATTGGACCAAATGCTGATTAAATTTGCCTCAATGTCCTCATCAGGAAGGAAAGTCTTGAAAGCCAGTAAGAAACATTCAATTTGTCTCCACTTAAAAACCACTTCACTGAAAAAACAGTAACAATATTCAATTTAATAAAGGGAGTAAATACTAAAAACAGTGAGTCTGACACATAAAAATAAAATAGATTCATAAGATTTAAGAACTCACAAATCCTCTTCTTCATCAGAATCATCAGCTGAATGCCTTGCTTTTTCTCTATGTACCCAATTCCATATGATGCTTTCCAGCTGACTTTGCCTAGCAGTAATCTGAGATACCCTCTGCACCCATGGTGACCGAAGAGACGTTGCAGGCTTCACCATCCTCTTTTCTTTCCTCCTTCCCGCATCTCCCTTATTTTCGGTCACCTCAACTTTCTTATGTTTACATTCATCTACTGCAGCAGCATCTTCAACTTGTTTATCAGTTCTTTTTACAGGGTCATCAGTGACTTCAGATTCAACTTGTTTAGCAACCTGAACAATATCTACCATTTCCACTGTCTCATTCTCAGTATCCTGTGTTAGGCCAAGAGAAAAACTAGGTTCTTCAGTCTGTGGGGTACCACATTCGCTGAGCTTCCGCTTCACTGGTCTTTCATCCTTTTTCTTGCTAACAGTCTCTATAATCTTATCAACTTCTTGAATAAAATTTGGGGAGACTTGGGTTTGTGGTATCTCAGCTGATGTTGGATCAACAGCAGGGGAAGCATGCATATCTCTACTCACATTTGTGTTCATGTTAGGTGTATCATCAACAATGTTTCTCTCAGCTGTTTCATCGTTACAGGTACTTACACGATGTCCACACCCCTGCACAAGAACATTTGAAACTCTTTGTTGAATTTGCAAGAGCTCATTATCATTGGGGAACAGCTTTCTCATTGTCTCACACTCAGCATCATATCTTTCTTTTGCAGATTCCAACTCTGCAGCTCTCCGTTGAACCCTATCAATACAATCCTGTAGTTTGAAAATCACAGACATTGGTCACCATAAATTATTAACATGGTTTGAGACAAGTTTGAATAGATTGAGATTACATTCAATGTATTTGTATCATGATTCAAATGACTGAATCCATAGTCGACTAAAATAGTTTCAGTTTGACTCTGGTGAATCGAGATTCAGTCGTAGTGAATCGCGATTCACTACAGTAAATTGATATTGAATTTCATTCAATCGATATTCACTCCTACTGAGTCGCGATTCACTACAATAAAATGAAATTCAGTTTAAGTGAATAGAGATTCACTCCTACTGTATTGAGATTAAATTGAATAAACAATTTTAGTCGAGTCGATTATAGAGATTCAGTCGTAGTGAATCGCGATTCACTACAGTAAATTGATATTGAATTTCATTCAATCGACATTCACTCCTACTGAATCGCGATTCACTACAATAAATTGAAATTCAGTTTAAGTGAATAGAGATTCACTCCTACTGTATTTGAGATTAAATTGAATAAACAAAGACTTGCAACTTAATTGGCTAACCTTTCTAATTGTATCAACACTTTTAGGTGAGTTTCCAGTAGGAAGAGATGAAGGTGCAAGTTCAACCCTCTCTGTAAATGCACCTTTGCCAAATGAATTTGTACTAATTTCCTCTGACTGTCTTTCCTTCAAGGCCCAGTCAGTCCAGCCTATAAAAGTAGGGGTTGTTCTCTCAACCAATCTTCTCCCTTTGAACAGAACCCGATCGGCATAGAACAGCTAGAAAGACGGAGATAAGAAATTAAGCATACCAATTAGTAATTATCAAGTAAAACTACTTTAACTACAGTAATGTAAAAATAAATCAATATTATAAAATTGACTTATAATCAAGAATGCAAGAGGACCAGTGTAGAATTGTTTTGTCGGGTCAACCTTCCACTTTTGTTGGCTTTCTATCATAGAGTCAATCAAAAAAGAACACCAATTGTATGAACAACACTGATCAACATTGTCACCAAGTACTAGAATCCGTTGGTTGACATACGGATTGCTAAGCGACTGGATC